GGATAGCGCCTGGATGGGACAAGCAGGGACGGGCTGTTATTAGGGCGCTGCATGCCACGGAGCCTGGCAGGCCCGGAGGGACGCCCTCTCCGCAGGGACCCCCCCAACTGCCCGCCACCCTCCGTACCAGCCTCCCCGTCCCAGGGGCTGTGCACAGGGCAGAGAAGGTACTGGGTGCCTGGGCACCCTGCCAGAGCACAGCAGGCAAGAGGAAACAAGCTGCGATACCAGCAGCTGCGCTGAGGCCGAGTTTACCTTCCCTTGTGCCCTTGGCTGGGGACAGGCACCGCCTGGCACCTGTATTCCTGTGCCAACAGGCTCAGCCAGTGCGAAAACTCTTGGTGGCGGGAGTGGACGATGAGGGGACGATGCAGGTATTGCCCAGCACAGCAGCCGAGAGGTCAATGGCTGTGACCTAGAGCAGGGAGAGGTGAGGGTGGCAAAAAGCTCGTGCCAGGAGCCAAACCAGCCCCCCCGCAGGGGACAGGACCGTGCCCAGCGCTCACTCACCTGCACGCTGGTCTTCAGGGAGTTGAGGCACACGATGCGCTGGCGGCTCTGGGACAGGAGAAGGCCATCTGGGGAGAGAGAGGAGCAGAAGTGAGGGGTGGCGGAGGGCAGCGACGGCAGCCCTGTCCCACAGGCGCCCTCCTGGCTACTTGCCCTCCAGCTGGAGGTCTACACTCATTTGGTCCAGGTCTGAGGTGGGCGTGAAGTTGCGCAGTGGGATCTGCTCCTCTTCACGCTGATATAGAAACTGCAGCAGCTTCAGGCTCCAGTTGAGGTGCCTATGAGAAGCAGGGAGTCACTGCCAGAAGGGAACTGCACCATCATGTCCTTCATCTCCCCGTCCCTCACCCCCAGCTGACCGGCACGCTGGCACGGACAAAGATACCAGCCAGTGCCCAGCTGCAGCCCAGCCCAGTGCTCTCATCCCATCAGCAGAGGATCCCATCAGGCTGTCTTACTGGAGAACCAGCTCATGTGCCTTCCTCCTTCCCCAAGAGCCTGGCCCCAGGCCAAGCTCAGTCCTTCCCACTGGGGTGGGATCTAGGACTCGTTCTCTGCAGTCTGGCAGAGCAGGGGAAGAACAGGGAATGGCACAGTTGTCCCCAGGTCCCTGTCCCCAGCGCTGACAGGGGCTAGGACAGCCTCCCCTTCCACCTGCCTCTTTACCTCTTCTGGCTGTTCATAGACAGCACCACGCTGGTGTTCTCCAGCTTCACCTCCACCCTCCTGGGGATGAGCTGCAGTGTGTCCCTGCTCAGCAGGGACAGGGACTTCAGGGGCTTCCCCGGGCCTGGAGAGGGACACACAGAGTCATTGGAAGGCTCTTGCCAAACCCCCATGCCCTGCAGTGGGAAGGAGCGGTGGCACAGCCAAACCCCTCTGGCTCCAGTGCAAGTATGGGGGCTGCCAGCCCCTGCCCTGCCCAGAGCTTGTCCCTGTCCCCATCCCTGACCTGGGCTGGGCTGTTCCCCCACACTGCCGCGCTGGGCCCCAGCAGTGACGTGGTGCAGCAGCGGGCTGCAGAAAAGCCCTTCATGCAGCTCTGCCTGCAGGCTCCGGACACGCAGCCTGACACCCACCAACCGCCGTTTGCTGCTGATCTCCAGTGAGACGGAGAGCGCCAGGGCCAGCTCCACCAGGCAGGTGTCATCCTGTACAGGGACATGGCCAAGGAGTGCACAGGGAGTCCCCCAACTCCCTGCCGGTGAAGCACTGGGCACAGCACGGAGCCCAGAGTGTTGCAGGACCCTAGCAGCATCGCCCAGCCTCGGGGATGGGCTGGAACAGGTCCTCGGGGTGTCCCGAAGAGCCAGTGCCAAGGCCCGGAGTGTTGAATTTCTCCCTTCCCCAGCACTCACCAGCTGGCTGCTCCGGAGCACTTTGCTGTTCACCTTTGTCAGGCTCACCTCGCAGGTTAGGCTGGGGAGAGCAGAGAACAGACAGAGGCTGCAGGCTCTGCTGTCTCCAAACTGAGCCCCTGCCCTCCCTTTTCTGTGGGACACAGGGACCCCAAGTCCCTGCTCCAAGTCCTCCCAAAAGCAGAGCACAGGACGGCAACTCATAATTTGGAGAACAGACAACTCGAGCTTCCCATGAAGGGAAAAGGGACCAGGCCAGCCTCGGAGGAGGTTAATGTGTCACATCACAGGTGACATGGGATGCTGCCGAGTGGGACAGACCGAGGTGAGACACCAGGGAGCCTGGCTGGGGTCGGAGGAGCCTCCCTGCCCCTTGGGACCCGGGGCCGGGCTGGGGGAGCAGAGCAGGACACGAGCACAGCGTTACCTCTTCCCATCGCCATTCAGGAGGAGACGGGTCTTGCTGGCCTGGATGTGCCAAAGAGACTCTGAGGTGGCCATGTGCAGAACGATAATGTTGATGGAGTCCATGTGGATGGAAAAGAGCTGGGGGGAAGGTGCTACTGTGAGGGATGTGTGACAGCAGTGCAGCCCACAACAGCCTCTCACGGAGCCAGTGTCTCACCTGGCTAAGGAGCCTCAGCAGGGAGGGTTTAAGAGTCAGGTCTGCTCTGTTTTCATTTCCATCAGCTTCTCTGGGAGTCTCCGGGACGGACGGCTGGAACCCAGGGCCCTTCTGGAGATCCGTTCGGATTCGCACCTCACCAAAACACAGCTCAAAGTAGCGCCTGCAGAAGAACAGCATGGCCAACTCTTATAAGAGCTTGCACATGGCA